AGAATAGTTGTTCTCAAACTGTTGGACTGTTTGCCCCCATAGTTTTTCAAAATGTAACCCTCCTTGCTTGTGAACACCTAAGCCTTTTTAAGATGCCCCTTTCACATGTATTAATAACACTATAATTTGTTACCAATTAACCTGTTCACCTGTATAATGTTCCAACATGTGTTTTTTGAGCATTCAACAAGTTCTCCAGTCTTTTGTTGCCCCTTGTCCCAACTTTTTTGAAACATATTGCAGGCACCAAATCCAGAATAAGTGTAGGTATATTTTACAAAAAACAATAAAGTTTATCAGTTTGAACATTAGATATCTTGACTTTGGACTGAATTAATTTGAATATAAGTCAAAAAGGATTTACAAGTCATTGCATTCTTTTTTTTTACATTTTACACAATGACCCAACTTTTTTGGAATTGGGGTTGTAATAGCAGTAGTAGTGAGCAGCAAGCAGTAAAAACGGCAGCAGTTTGCCGCAATTTGTGAGAACCTGTGAGACAAGGAAGCACAAAGGCTCCAGGGGAGAAGTCAAGTCAGTAACATGCATCAGTGGGACATGAATGTTTGCAACTGAAGAAAGAGAGAAGGAGAGAGGACCTCAGTGTATCATAGGAGGTCCCCCTGCACACTAGGTCTCTATCAGCCTTACTAGGGGCTGGTCGAAGGCAAGCCTCAGCCAGCCCTGACTATAAGCATTATCAAAGAGGAAAGTTTTAAGGGTACTCTTTGATGTAGAGATGATGTCAACCTCACTTTGTAAGACCAAAACAAATTCCCAAAGTGTACTGCAGTTTTGAGAACCTGACCTTTTTAGGTGCCCTCCTTCAGGGAAGTTTATGGCAGAAAAATCACTGATAATTGAACTCCTTCATTAGGGGGAGCAATTCACTCCCAACCTGGAAGAAAGACATCCACTTTTTACTGGCAGACAACCATGGCCTTAGCCTTGGAGGTGCTGCAAACCCCACCACTGGGTGGTGGAGATTATGGTCTGATGAAGCCAATAGAACTGCATCATCTACAAAGAGCAGAGAAGAGATGAGTGATAAAAGAAAACCCTGTCAGAGCCCAATACTCAAAAAAAACTCTTTGAAAACCTGTTTCATTTCCTGAATACAGACACAGCACTTACTCTTATAATATAAGGACCAAAGTCCCATGACCCCTCAACTAACCTGCAAGGGTGAAGAGCTGGTCCACTGTTGCGTGACCAGAACAGAATCCACACTGCTCCTTCTGAATCTGAGCCTCCTGTCAAGTACCCTGGCATGACCTTCTCCTGAGGAAAATTAGCTGTGTGATACCTTGGGAACATCCTGCAGTCCCCCTTTTTAGAAAACAGAATCCTGCACAACGACTCCATCACCTGATAATTTCACCAGTTAGAGTCAGCAGTTTTGCTCCCCTGATGAACACAGCCTGTGCCAAGCTTTGCTTCCCCTTCCTGAGTCGTCCACAACCTCCTGGCCTCCTGAACACACCTGGGTTTCTGCTTAGTCAACCACCAATGCTGCAGCCATCAGGCCTCCCACCTGTCCACTGTTTCAGAAGACTCCTGGGCCAGCCAAACCAGAAAGGCCCTCTTCAGCTTCACTGATAACCTTCTGACCACAACTAGGAGCAGCTACCTCCACAAACACCATGGATACATAGCCCAGTTCACCCTCCCTGCATGTTTGGGTTTAGCAGGTCTATACCACAGTCTCCCTCCACCATCTCATCCAACTCATCCCAAGTGGTGATCAGTTAACAGTTCTGCTCCTCTCTCCACCCTAGTGTCGAAGATATACAGCTGCAAAACTGATGATATGACCAAGTTGATAATTGACAAGCAATACAGCAATTAAATATATTTATTGTAATAAAAGGTCCAGTGTGTAAGATTTTGGAACATCTAGTTGTGAGGACTGCAGATTGCAACCAACTGAAACTTCTTCTGGTTAGAATTGCTTTAGTGTTCAGTTTTTTTTTATCAGGAGCCAAATTATCCACAGAGGTCTCTTCTTCTCTAAAACAAATGCATCACATGATTAAAACAAGTAAAAACTCTGAAAAAGCAGTTTCACATTACAAACCACTATTTCTCCAATGCTGTTTGGCCGGTCTGCAACAAGCACCTGCTAATGTGTGTTCACCCTTTGTCTGATCGTGATTTTCAAGAGGTTTTAAGCAGGAGCTTAATGATCCACAGAGGTCTCTTCTCTCCAAAACAAACAGACCAGGTGATTTAAACCAGTAAAAACAGTGAATAAAGCAATTTTGCGGAAAAATCAGTGTTTTTTCTGCGCAGTTCATTTCAGAGAGGTTATGGTAGTTAGCGGTAACTACCATAACCAACGTGAAATTCAAAAACCTGAATATCTCTCATTCTCAGGTAATAAAAAAGATGAGTCTTATTTTCAGGTGATTATACACTAAACTAAGCATACTTACTTCATTGTATTCAATTTTTGCCAATATATCTCCTAAATCATACACACTGGACCTTTAGAGAAAATGATACAGTAAATGTTTCTTTTTTTCCTGAATCAAGTTTTTGAGCACATTTTTGTGTTTGAACTTCTTCAAGAGACTCTATCATTTAAGAGTAAAGAAATCAATATTTCCTATGTGCAATAAAGTGAATTCAACCATTCAGTGTGTCTTATATGTTGCTTTTTTATTGTGTACTTATTTATCAAATCTTTTGTTTTTACTGATGCGTCTTGTTTTTGCATTATCACCCTTGCTGCTCTTAACACTGCAAATTTCCCAGCTGTGGGACTAGTAGTGTATGGCAGTGGCGTTGTTAGGTCTGGGTGTCTGAGGCTTCAGCACACCAAGTCTCAGCTCCCATTGAAAGCTTTTTAATTTGCGCTGTGACGTGTACCGTTTCGAGCACAAGGCTCTAGAGCTCTGACTTTTATACATATGTATCCAGCACCCACTCCAAATGGACCTTTGACTATTTTTGTCTGAGGCTTCAGCCCAGAAAGTTTTATAAATAGTCCCAGTTTTTGATATATAGGCAATATACATGTGTTTAAAAATATAAGAATAGGCCTTATCATAAAAAAGCCCCAGATCTAATAATCTGTCATTCTGTTTGTACTGGTGTTCTACAAGGTTGTGTTTTATCTCCACTTCTGTTCTCTCCATATACAAATGAGCTGAAATATAATGGTAAAGACTTCTCACTTATTAAGTATGTTGATAACATGGCCCTGGTTGCCTGCCTGCAGGATGCTGACAGCCCCTCCTACTCTTAGCACATCAACCACCTTTCCACCTGGGTCAATGGCAGCTTCCTTGACCATAATGTCAGTAAGACCAGGGAGCTGTGTCTGGGAGGAACGATGGGAGTGGCTGGCACACGGCCTGTCTTCAGGTCCATTACCATGAGATGGCAGGAAGTGAAGCAGGTCACTGAGTTTAAATATTTGGGAACTATCATTGATGACAAACTGACCTTTCAGCCTAATGCAGACTGGATTTACAAAAAGGCTAGGCAACGTCGCTCTCTTCTCAGGAAGCTGAGGAGCTTCAGTGCTAGTAAACACACCCTGGCAATAGTGTACAGGTCACTTACTGAGAGTGTTCTCACCTTGAACATGGTCTCTTGGTATGGGAACCTCCTGGTTAGAGATAGGAACAAGCTGACCCAGGTGGTTAATCAGGCCAGTAAGATAATTGGACACAAACAAATGCAACTTCAGGACCTATTTAATTGGGCTACTGCAAAAAAGGCTACTCAAGTTTACAATGACCCAACACACCCCCTGCAACCATCTTTCAGGCTGCTGCCATCTGGCAAGAGACTTGTGGTCCCTCTAGCGAAGAAGATCCGCTACAAAAATTAATTTGTGCCCTCTGCTGTGACCAACAGGGACATCTTAAAATAATCAACAAGCTTGTGATCACTGTTGCTTTTAATGCTGCTTTTATGCTGTGATGTATTTTGATGTACTTACTTATCTTCATTATTTATTGTGCTTTATGTTTCATGCTGTATTTTATATGCCAGATGCCAAAGACAAATCTCCATTTCATGTAAATGTAATGGACAATAAAGTTTTCTTATCTTATCTTCTACTTGCACTTGAATAATACACTTAGTTACATTCCACCACTGTAACAACATAAATATACATTTAAATATTTTTCCCAACTGTAGTCATTAAATTTTCAATGAAAGCAGTTGTAAAGTATTCTGTTTCTACCAAATACTTATTACTAACAACTAGGCTAACAACACAATTCATAATTAAGAGGAAGTTTTTCGTTTGTTTGTTGGTTTGCTTTAAGTGAGTTAAGTTTAAAGGGAAAACAAGTTGACAAGTTGTTCTTTTTTTTTGGGGGGGGGGTCAACAAGATGCCAGAGAACGTTAATCAAATAAAATGTAGGGGATCCGCCTGGACCTTCCTGAAAAGGTCCGGGCTAAGTCACCAATGTTCTTATATCCTAAAAAAGGATGATTTATATTTACTTATCGTATCTAATCTTATCTTATCTTTGCTAAGTATTTAGTAGATAGCGAGAAGTATGTAGCTATTTGTTGCATTTATTTGTTTGAATTTTCTGAGTATTGCTGTAAATAATGTTGAACATAGTGTTTCAAATGTTGGAGAGCCATGTGGTAGTTCTTACACACACTCAAACACTCACACTCTCAAGCACGCACACGCCTACAAGGAGAGACAGATGGACGGACAGACACTGCAGCCCTGGTCTGAGAGGTTTCCAGCCCAGCTCAGTTCGCGGTCTTCTGTTGCCCTGCTCTCCACATTTGGTTACAACACGCATGTGTTAAATCTATCAGTGCTTAGGCCTATTTATTCTATTTTCGACACACGAGACTGGCGATGTGCAGAGCGCAGGATGTGGAGCTGTGTGGATATCTGGATGGATGAATAGATGAGCGGAAAGCTGACAGCACCGTGAAAACACCGTGAAGTGGACGTGGCGTGCAGCGGCGGGGCTTCTGCAACTTTGTCTGCTTGTACGGTTGAACAGGTGAAGCTGGGCAGTTGAACAAAGCTTGAAAAGGATGGTCATCGGAGTGATGGGATAAACTAAACGCGCGATCTGTTTTTTGGAATCACATAACAGAATCCTGCTAGTCATTTAAAGTTTTTTATTTAAACATCATGAGCAAAATTTAATCTCTGAGTAACACAGCCGTGTTTTTTAGCCTACATGAGTCTATGGGAAAAATCTCAGCGGAGATTTACTTTTATGCAAGAATCTTTTATGTGAAACTTCTAGAGATGAAGGAAAAATGCAAGAACGCAGCGAAGACGCGGAGAGAAAAAGAGAACGGAGAGTTTTATGAGCTGGCCAAACTGCTGCCTCTGCCGGCGGCCATCACCTCCCAGCTTGACAAGGCCTCCATCATCCGACTAACCAGCAGTTACCTCAAGATGAGGGCAGTCTTCCCTGACGGTAGGAACAGTCAAAGGGCTGCACGCACAGGCACTAGGATTATTAACATATAACATAGGCCTATTTATATAAATAGGGCCCACTGAAATGTCACATTCTGAGGGCGGAGGACAACAAACAAGGGACGAACAAATAGTAGTAGTAGTGACATAGGCTATATAAATTAATGTAGTACACATAACACATCAGAAACACGCACTCCATATGATTTACAATAGTTACAGTTAATTAAAGCCATTCTCTGTAAGAAAGTAAGCTATAACAAAATCACAGATCAAAGCCTTTTCCCCATCGTATTATTATGAAAAATATATCAGCTGCAATATGAAAAGTAATAAATATTGGAGTATTATTCAGTTTATTGCATTTAATTCGATATATTCCAAAATACATGCAATATAATCGTCTCAGTACAGGAATGAGGGATTCCATCAGAGGGACAGCCGTGCGGGATCTCGGTGTATATAAACGTCCAACTAATACAGAGAAGTTTCCACACTGTGTCTCTTAAATTGTTTGTAGTGCAGAGGAGAGAATTTAAGTGTGCACCGGGGACAAATAGATTTATACACTTCTTTTCTGGTACCACTTTTTAACAGGCATCCTTAGCAAAGGCTATGAGTAATAATTACGTCAGTAATGGAAAATTTACTGATGCTTCACATTGTCAATCGATTTTTAAATAAATGATTTATTAACTAGGCTATTTTCAAGCCCACAAGTTACAACTTATAAACCATTTTCAACGGGCTACTTAATTGTAGCTACACAAGTCATCTAAATAAAACTTTTTAAAAGTAAAAAAAAAAATGTCACGTGAGTGTTAAAATACTTTGCCGGTCGTTTTTGCTCAGAGAGCTTGCTACAAAATGTCGAAGTCTTTGTACCATATTTAGACTTTCCTCTGATTACTATAATAATCTAATAATAATAGTTGTATTTGTATCATTACTTTTCCGGTTCTTCTTGCAGTAGTAAAAGTCAGTGTTTGCTCCTTCACTCAACCATAATCTCTGGGCTGTTAAACCAATTTTGTTAATTAGGGTGTCATCGAAGTGTTGAAGTTGTTTTCCCACTCTGATTAAAAGCTGATGTCTACTTTAAACGCCTCACTCATTCATCAAGGTAATTATTTCATTAGGACGCATACAGCTACACTGGGGCAGGTTAGAGGGCAGAAAAACAGAGCCTTTCCTCTCTGTCATCACTCATAAAGTCAGAGTGAACACACGGCCTTCTGTGGCCGGGCCACCCGGTAGAGTCCAGCCACCTCTTTGTCCGGGACGCAGTAAAGCTTCAGCGGCAACAGGCCTGCGCAGTTACTCCCTCCATTAGTCTGGGAAATGTTATGTGCATATAGCCAACGGTGTGTTTTTTAGGAATCCAGAATGCCATAGATCCAATTTGTGGTGGATTAGTTTGTAGCCCCGTAATCCCCAGTAAGGATCCATAATGCAGGGCCGCGGGATCTGGGAAAGTCCAACACTCTGGGGCGCGTGGAAGCACTTCATTTATCACTTCACCATGTGTTCATTAGACCTATATGTTATTGTAAATATAGGCACATATATCAGACAGGTTCAGACACGTCACATATTCCCGTTGATCTCCGGAACACTGTTGTAAATGTGGTGAAGTCAGCTAATTTGTGACATCAGGTAAAATGGGACAAATAGGGTTTTTTAAATATTAGCAGCCAGTCACCGAACATGTTATTGCATTGCTTCTGCAAATCTTTACATGAAATAATCATATTTATTGGTATGAAACAAACCTTTTTGCGCAGAGCAAAGAGTCAAAAATCACTGGTCCCAGAACTTCAAAGAAAAGTGTTGCTTTTTCTCATTTTGGTAATAAGAATTCTGACGCTTAAATAATAAGGGTATAACAACAAAAATATTGTAGGGTGTTGCATTTTATTAAACGTTTGTCTTATAGGCTAATCAAAATATTTTCACACAAGACTTTATTTTTATAGGAAATAACTGTGAGTGAGTACTTAATGCATTCAGGTACAATAGGGAAAATAAATTAAGTTCAAATAAAACATTTATTCTGAAGTGAAACCAGCAGGTTTTTAGACTCCCAGGGGCCTAACATCATGACTTACGCTGACACACACACACACACACACACACACACACAAGTCTATTCTAGACAACATGGCAGCAACAAAACAAGCAGCTAAAAAACACAGGAGAAGTATGGCAGAAAAGATGGACGTTTTTTATGAATAGCCATAGGTTACATGAATAAATTAATGACTGAACTGATAAATAGATTTAAGCATTCAAAAAATAAACATGAAGGTTTCATATTATCTTATCAGCTGTCCCATTTTACCTGAACATGTCATCACAGAGAAGTAGGGGTTCTCAGTGTGTTTGAAGGTCCAAAGTTTCTAAATTATTTTACTTGGTAATATATTTTCTTTATAGAATATAGCAGAGATCCACAACAAGTTCTAAAAGTAACACTTAAGGTAGTCCTCAGAGTTTTAGGTGGTTGTCTTGGCTATCTACTAAAAGCGTCCCAAATTCCCCGACTTCACTCTAACAGCGTTAAGTGGATAAAGCGTTTTGACTCTATTTACAGAATACTATTTTATTAGTTAATTCATGGCGCTTTCCGTAAGGTTGGCCAGTACAACATTACCGGCTGGCCGGCATACAGCAGTAGCTCTGTTGGGTGTCTGGGAGATAACGCTAAAATGAAGTTTTTATCATTTTCGATCATTTGAATGCAGCCCAACGAGAAGCGGATCCACCCGTCTGCGGCACAGACGCTTGATTGGTGATGTGTAGCTTTACCTCTACTGTTCAAACATTTCGTTGCTATTTGTTTCACATGGTGTCACAAATATTAACCCAACAAGAAAACTAAACAGGCCTAATAAAACAGTTGTTAAGTTCATATGGACTGAAAAACGGCAGTTTTACTGTGGATGGCCTAGTTCAAGCCTACAGGCTCAGTTTTTGCACATTTTTGCATATCATTTCACATTTTATTGTATTTTATGTTTATATCATAATTTAGCATTTTGTTATGTTTTTGTACTAATTTAAAATTGTTAGTTTTAGTTATTAAACCAAGTGAGGAATCCAGCTAGGTCACAAAAGGTTTGGAGTAATTTTAGCTGCCACTATCAAACTGATTTAGCTATTATTTAGATAAGATTATTTGGATTAAGACTAGATTATTCATTCCTGTTTTTCCAAAGCCACACAGCAGTGTTCCATTGTTAAAAAGAGCTTATGTTTTTTCTGATGAAAACCTTGTTGAGGCTCAGAGAGTCAATTTAATACTGAAGACAAACAGTCCACACAGTTTCTGTTCTTGTCCGTTTGACCTGTGGGCCAAAAAGTCCAGCTCCCAACAAGCTGAAAAAATGAACACAGTGAGAAAGCAGGAGTAATTTCTTAATTTTAAAAAATGTGTCTGTAACTGGCAGTTTGCCATTATTTGTACCTACTTTTTTTTTCCTCGTGGGGTGATTTAGAATAAAGATTACAATAATCCATAAGGCAGCAGAGTCCTTTATTAAATGTGCTACTCATTTCTGGCCTATAGATGTTATCGCAAACTGCAACACTGCAGATGACCATAATGAAAACAACTTAAATTCATGTTATAATTCTTCATACACAGCCATTATATAATTCTCGGGGGTGGAAAGTAAAGTGCAAACACCATTGGTATAATTTAGAGGCCCTGGGGCTTTAGTTCAGTATTTCTATTGTAACAACTACCTCCCCTTAGAGCTGCAGTTATTAGTTACTATTTTATATGTCGCTTCTGTTTAAATGATCCATCAGTCTAGGCAATAGTCAGACCTGAACCTGCCACAACTTTACAAAACCTGAACACATTCTTATTCTTAAAGAGTTTCAGAATGATTTCAGGTAGAGTACAAGTACTCTTCACTGTTCTGTAACTTCTTGTTGCGAGGAGGGGGGCTATCACAGCCAACATTGGGCAAGAGGCGAGGCAGGATGATACACTCTAAACACATCGCCACACATAGAGACAGTCAGCTAGTTACCGTCACATTTATATCTACACACAATCTAAAGTCTCCATTTTAACCCAACCTGCATGTTTTTGGACTGTGGGAGGAAGCCAGAGAATGCTGAGAGAACCCACGCTTACACAGGCTGAACATGCAAACTTCACACAGAAAGGACCCATCCAGCGGGCTCAAATCTGGAACTGTCTTGCTGTGAGGTGACAGTGCTAACCACTGCACCACCATTGAATTTTGAATTGGAAAATGAGTGCATGTTGACAATTTATGTTTTCATGTCCTATTTCTTGTAACCCTAAAAATTAAGATTTTATTTGGTATTTTTTCAAGTAGTATTTCTTATAAGCCCTCAGTGCTAATATTCCAGCTGCCCTGGTATAAAATTACAATTGATGTGAAAAGCAGAACTGATTCTACAAACTGACCTGCTGAGCGAAAACACTGTTCTTCAGTTCTGTCAGGCTTTCAGCACTACTACGTGCAGGAAATGATTTGGTAGAAATGAAATACTTTACATCCACATAGGCTTCCAAAAATATTGATTCTGCCTTATTAAAGTCAGCTCCTTATGCAGCACAACCTTTTTTTCATTCTAGATGTATATAAACTTGTATTTTTTTTAGCTTGGTGCTGATGAAACAGCAGCAGTTCACCCTTTCTCTAGAAGAATCTGATAATATTCCATTATGTGATATGTTAGTAATTGAACAGCTATATCAGCCATACATTTATTTTGGACCACTTTGACTGTTACCAGTGTATTTTGTAATCTGTTTCTCAGTGTGTGAGAGGGACATGCAGCCAGAAGCAGCTGTTTGGAATCAGTGTGGATAGGCTTCAAATCACATGAAAACATAACGTTTCTGACACTGAAGTCAAGCATAACACCATATACAGATTTTAAAAACATAGTTGACATGCTGCATTCTAAAAACATGCACCATGATATGTCACATTGTTGACCCCCCTAGCCTGA